CTTGCCTCTGTCAGAAGTTACTGCCTCTTTTATAGCAAAATTGGCAGATGGGACTGGAGAAGGAATTGGCATCTGAAGTCACAGACTGATGTCCTAGTTCTAGTGCACATTTGTTAGTTGTTTAAGTGTAGCGTTAGAGTATCACAGAATCATTAAACTTGGAAAAGACCTTCAAGATTATCAAGTCCAACTGTTAACCCAATACCACCATGTCCACTAAACCATGTCCCGAAGTGCCACATCCACATGTTTTTTGAACAAAAAGTAGATTAGACAGAGACACGTTTCCTTCTCCTGTTTCTGCTACAAGGGTGATAGTCTTCAGGAGAAAGGTAGGCTGGAGAGCTGGTAACTGCTCTGAAGCTGTGCTGCAACATTCACCACAACTTGTCTATTACAGCTATTCGGTAGCTTTGGCGGGCTGCAATTCTTGCATCAGCGGTTTGCCATGAAAGAATCCTTCCATATACAGTGAAGGGTGAAAAGGCTGTGTTCCTTCATTCCTGACCTGTTTCAAACTGTAATCGGCAATCTAAAATTTTGCTGAAACATCTGGGAATTCACTTGAGGTTTTTTTGTTTTGTTTTTAAATCAAAGTACATTACAGGTAAATTGTCCTGACTACCTCTTACAGTTACTTTGGTCCTGTTTCTTTTCTATGATTTAAGTCTTTCTTGTGGGACTGGACTTGCTACAGCTACCTGGTGCAGTGGGTTAGAGTGAGTGATAGGTCCACGCACACTAAAACATGAGTTCTGATTTAATTTTTTGTTGTGAGTATATCTATTGCTTTCTAACTTTATAGATTCTTACGTGGATTTGCTCTGCTATGTATTTTTGTAGAAATCTGTCTGTAATGAAATATCTAGATAAAATTGTTACATCCTATATGACTTTTTTTATTAACTTGTATTTTGTAGGCCTTAAAAGACCACGGGCGTGATTATCTTGTTGGCAACAAATTAAGCTTGGCAGACATCCATCTGCTGGAAGCCATTTTAATGGCAGAAGAATGTAAACCTGATATACTGTCTGCATTCCCTCTGCTACAGGTTAGTAATCATCTGATCTCAATATGGAATATAAGATACAAATGTCACTGCCCTGTTTTAAAAGCTAATTGATGTTTAAATCTTTTGAGCTATTGTGTTACTGACAGTTCTCTGGTCTACTTCTGTTGACTACAACCACCTGAACACACATACACTGCCTTACCTATGGGAAGGCTGTGGCCTGTTGTGTCTGCAGTTCCTGTCCTTCTCTTTTTGCTAGAAAATTTATATTTTGAAGAAATCATACACAAGAGCTGTTAAGTTTCTTATGTGTTGTCTTCCATGGTTCTTTGCACTGAGGTATTCCAGCACTTGCCTCTGTTTTTTTGCCCAAATATATCTGCAGGATTTGGATTCAGACTGTGGTTTTTGCTTTTTCTTTTTTCTTTCTGTTTTCTTCCACCTTTACCAGATGAATCTTAGAATAGAATCATAGAATAGTTTGGGTTGGAAGGGACCTTTGAAGGTCATCTAGTCCAACCCCCGTGCAGTGAGCAGGGACATCTTCAACTAGATCCAGTTGCTCAGAGCCCCGTCCAACCTGACTTTGGATCTAATAGTTACTCTTTAATATTGATTTCTCCCATCCCCATCTGGGAAACTAAGGTAAACTTTATAGCACCAGTGTTGCAGATCAGAATATTCCCACCTGAATTTTCCAGAAAGACTAATATGTTGTAGGTGTGGTTTTTCCATTTATTTTTTTAATGGAAAATGCTAAGTGCTGAGCTGGCTGTAAGGAGCCACTGTCTTTCTCTGCTTAATAAGTATGTCTGAGAAGGAAAAATCCAAGTCACCTGATCTTTAAGCTGTAAAGGATGGAATTATAATTTCCTGACTTTCATTGGCTTTACTGCCGCTTCTTACAGGCTTTTAAAGGAAGAACAAGCAACATTCCAACAATCAAAAAATTCTTGCAGCCTGGCAGCCAGAGGAAGCCACCGACAGATGAGAAGTTTGTTGCCATTGTGAGGAAAATATTCAATATCTAATCATGTGGCTGCTGAAGAGAACACAAATGTAGTATATTACCAGAGCTGTGCCTTGTAAGTGTAAACTGCATAGATGTATTCTATAGCTTGGATCATATAGCCAGTCACATGGTAATCGTTGAAACAGAATACACTTGTAAATTAGTGTAAAAGGCTGATTTGGACCTGTCGCGTCCAGGAAGTGGTATTTCATGGAACAATTGTATGAAATAAAATATGATGATACTTTGTGTTTGTTTAATTACAGTCCATGCCTGGTAGGGTAAAATGTTTCAGCTGTAGCTTTCGGAGTATTCTAGAAGCATGTATGCCCCTTGCCCCCTTATAAGCTGCAGGAGAGAAAAGCCACCCCATAAAAATGGGGCAGTTGTTTAAAGTCAGGCCTAGAATCTTTTGGCTTTGTTCTCTAGGTGGTCTCCTAGAACAAAATTCACTGTCCCCCTGCTGTATGTCACTGCTGTCTCTGTACTTTCAGAGCTGCAGTTTAAAAGATAAATAAATAAATATTTAAAAAATAAAAAAAATTAAAACTTATGATCCTCAAGTTTATGGGCAAAAGAAACTTGTTTAATCCCCATATGAATCTCTTAGAAGAGATTTTGTTCACTGAAAGATCAAAGTATGTGTTTAATTAGCCTGAGGTGGTTTTCATCCATTGAAACCTTCTATTCCCTTGCTCTTCTTTTTGCTTGCTTGGTCACAGTGAGGAAAATGCCACTTGATTGGTTTTTTTCTAAAATTTTACCTTCTCCGGTCACTCCCCAAGTAGCTGTAAAGACAACTGCACCGGCTGCTTACCTTTTCAGCAGAAGAGTTAGTTTTACCTCAACAGTGCTTAAAGCATTCACTACTATTTCAGATTCTTTACCCTAATTTCATGGGAACCACCACTGTTCCCTTCAAGAACAGTGTCATAAACTATTCATCCTTGCAGTTAGTTGTTTTTCTCAGCAGGACTCAAACAGATTAGGCAGAGAAAACAGTCAACCAGTGTATATACAGAACTGCTGCCCAGCAAAGTTAACTCCTTTTCTGACTTGTGCATAAGAAGAGACACACAATGTATCTCAGGGACAAAAACCAGAAACACCCCAGCCACCTAGGCACTGCCCAGGTGAGCTCCCAGGAGTTTAACATTAATGTTACCTAGGTATAGTTTGCCGTGCCCACCACAGTACTCGAGTTTCACTGAACTACACCTCTGTTCCAACGAAGTGCGATGATTGCTGAACCATCACAGAGACTGGCACAGGATTTCGCCTTTGTATTTTCTGAGTCCTCAGTCCCACAAGGGTATGTTGAGAAAGCTACTTGTTTGGGCTGCTCAGGAATTTCAGCAAAAGCTTCTGGATTACAGTTGGGCCTTGGGGGCCCCCTTCCCCCATGGGGGAATTCAGAGAACGCACAGAAGGCTCAATGCTGGACTTGCTCAAAAATATACACTCTTACTCCATTTAGGGTCTGGGGTAGAAGCAACTGCCGGATGGCTTCTGCATTTCAGCACTAGGTTGCCCAAACTTTTCCTTGGAGCTTAATCTAAGGCAAAGATTCACCTTGGTTTACAGTACAAATATCCCAACTGGCATTGGTCCCACAAGCCTGTTATGGTACGTGGCAGTTCAATTCCTCTGACATGCCCTGAAGTTCTATGTTAGGATGAAATGAACTGCATTTTATGTGTCCAGCTGTCATCCCAATCTGAAATCATAACATACCAGCTCAATCGCCTGGCAAGACCTGGAGATGACTGATACCAACACTTGTTGGCAAAAGATTCCAGAGCTGGAGAGGCTGTGGTTTGGGGTTGGTTGGGGGGGTTTTGCCTTTTTTTTTTGGCAGTTGTGCCTTAGACATCCAAGCCGCTCACAAGACCTTGTCACCACCTAAGCCCCTGCCAAGAATAAGCAGCTTGGTATTCTGCTGATGGATTTGTGCAGCACTGGGATCCAGTATATGATAGCCTTTATAAGCAAGCTCTGTATGAAAAAAATGAAAAGCAGAAAAATTTTTCATTGCCTTCAGTAGTGTACTTCCCCATGTTCAGTTTCCTAATGACATGGCTGCACATTCTTGTGCACCAGAAGACAGTCTTAGCCAAGCTTTCAGACCCAGGGAATATTTAATTATTTTCTATGCAAACCAAAGCAACTTCAATCCCTGAATAGTTGATGTCCAAATACTCTGCTTATGGGGAGGACTGCACCAAGATAATCTGTGTAAGACCACAACAGCAAACCTGTTAAAGAGTATTGAGACTGAGAGTTTAGAACCTATCTGTGCAAGATGGTGAACCTTCCTCAGGGGTGGTTCACATCAGTGGGAATTTACACCATGGTACATGTTTTCAACTGGTAGCGAGTACAGAGCAGATCACCAGACTCTTCCATTGACAAAATGGCTCACTAGTCTGCTTAAAAAACTGAGAAGCTTTGAACATTTTAGGTTTTATTTGAACACTGATAATAGTTTTACATTTAGAACCAGTGGAACAAGATACGTGTATCTGAGAGAAAGGTGGATTTTCTAGTGCAATACAGTACAGGCCTGTGCCTTTATTGATTAGTAACTGACAATATGAATAGAACTGATTACTTAATCTCAGAAGCTACAAAATTATGGCTCAATACAAAATATCTTTTTAGCATAAACATGTATATATATATATATTCTTCTCTCAGAGATACTGTGCAAAACTAACTCAATTTCTTGGGGTGCTCAGCACTCCTGAAAGCAATCAAACTTGCAGAGAAAGATCCCTTGAGTTAACAGACTACTTAAATGGAAGTAGATCAAAATATATCCTCAACAAAACATTTTTTTTAGTTTTTAAAAAAAGCTTGCAAAATATCAGCAAATTACAGGTACAGATCTTTTACAGAAAAGGTAAATGCAATGTAAGACTTGTGTTCAAACTTGTCTTTCAAATGTGGAGAGCTTGCCTGTTTGTTCGGTGGACATGGCAGTCATACTTCGGTTCTTAAGCTGCTGAATTCTCCTACAGCAGCATAAAAACAAGCCTCAAAATCATCAAAAGGCTGGGAAAAAAAAACAAAGAAAGAAACATAAATATGGTTGTACACGAACAAAACCAGTGCAAGTCATCATTACGTAACAACACATTTATAAACACCTGACACTAGAGCCTCTAGTAAGCAACCTTTCAAAACATCTAAATCTACAGCCTCAGTGCCTGCTGAAACACACAGACCACCTAAGCTTGAAAATGATCCACAATGGAAAACAGTATTTTCCAGTTTAAGTTCTGATTCTTATATTTTGCATCTTGACAATCTGCATCTGACTTTTTCCTCCCTGGAAGTAACTGGAGTAAAACAACTGATGGTGTTATGTTAAATCTGGTAACAACAAAGCAACAGTTATTACTCCTTCAGAAGATGGAGATTCTGACTTAAAGTCGAAAAATGTTTTGAGTTACAGACTCACTGGGAAAAAAGGTGTCTACTTCATAATTTAATTCCAAAATAATACGTACAGAAAATTATGTTTTCCAGAATGACAAAATAAACAGCAGCAATAAAGCAGTCAGAATGGTTAGAAACATCATAATTTGCAGTAATACTGACCAAAGTTCTTAGGTCAGGTCAAAAATGTCCTAGTTTTCAAAGGTACTGTGCTTCCAGTAGTTTTGAATGCAGCACTTCTAAACCAAAGTGTTGGTCTTTTTTAAGATAACTGTGTTGTATGAAATTAGATTATTAATTTTATGCATATGTTTGGAAACACCTCAGGTTCTTCCAAGAGCCTTATCAATATGTATTAATATTTAACTGCAGATATCTCCTTTCTTTGCTGAGAAAGTCACTCCATATCAGATGTATCCGCCTAGTGAGATGAAAAAGCTGTTCACTGAAAACAGGACTGTGACCTCCAAACTGGTTTCACTTAAACTGTACTGTCACTGGATGACAGTAACTTCCACTAATACTGGCTGAATACTGACTCAAATGTCAAATGGCAACTATTTGAAAATCAGCAAAATCTTTACATTAAGATCCTCATTATATGTTTACCTCAGGCATGCTACTAGTCCGGCTGGCATTAATTTCTTGGACCTCTTGAACCTCATTCCCATTATGATGGTCAAAAGAAAAGCTGAAACTGTAAAAGACAATTAAAAATATTTATGATGTTCTCATTTCTCCCAGTGAACCATTCAGGAACACGGAGAGTTATCAAAGGTCACTGCTATGTTTTGCTATGAACTGCAATTTAATAAAACATTAGATTAGAGATAGAGTCTATAAAAACATTCTTGCTTTTCCAAAATACATCGCTATGATTTCTTTCAGCTGCAAATAAGATTTCCAGGTGCAGCAGAATGCTAAATCTCATTCCACAGACATTAAGTTTGTCAGACAGTGAATTCTATTCCCCTGTATCTACATTCACAGGGATACAAATAAAGTAGGAAGAATCTTCATCATAACAGTAACATGTATACTGAATTACAGGAATAGTGTCTCATAAATCCCACCACCCTGCAGGTTTTTGGTAACTATTCAAGGAGCTAGAGCACCCAACTTTATCTGTTTTCTTTTTAGAACGCTAGCTCTTTATTTGTTGAGCCTTAAAAACTACATTGGATGGTTTGCCACTTATTTTCACTACATAATATGGCTGTCAACACATCCTTCATCATGACCACAAGTTCCTTTGTTTCATTTTGCTGTAAGGGAACCATCCTCATCTGTGACAAGAGGTGGGCAGCCCAAGAGGGCAACAAATGCAGTGCATGCAGCAGAGAACAAACATCATGAAAGGAACTGCATCTTCTTCATGCAACAGTTTTACCCGAAAATGATAGGAATGAACTCATCAGGCATGGGGATTTCATACTGAACTATGGCTGCAGAGCTGTATATAAATGAGGAGATTAACAAGAATACCTAAAACTCTGCAAAGATAGATAGCTTTGTTTAAGAGTTGTCACCTGAAATGCTTCCTAGCAGTGGGCAGAGAGGCAGGACTTCTCATGGGCAGCTGGGCTTTATCACTCTTGCAAGCCAAAGTAATGGCAGTTACACAAATCTCTTCCCTTTTTTATGAGGCAGTTAAATCATCTGTCTAATTCTCCTCAAACTCCACTCTCTACTCCTGTAGACAGTCCTGTGCTCACAGGTGCCAAGAATTAGTTTTAAACTCACTCCAGCCTTATAAAACAAGCTCTGACAGTTACAAGCATCTTACAAAACTCTACCAGCTATGCATGTGCACTCATTACAGATACCCTGCAAAAAAAACCTATTATGCTCCATTATGCATTGCTCTTATTTTCTGGTCCCATAGCCTTGATCCTCTCTGGAATGCCTGAAGAGTGAACTATTCAACAGTATGCATCTTGCCAGAGCCCGGAGTGTACTTACAATTAATTACAAGCTACAGAGTATGTTCACTCTGTAATATTCTTTTTTCTGTTTACTAGTCTCTGGCTTTTCTCATGTGCCCCTGAGTTTTTAAGACGTTCAGCTTTTAGACCTGATTTTCAAAAGTGCTAGATATTCACTGTTTCACCTTAAATCAGTCAAAAAAATTCAATAAATCAAGCCAAATTCAACTCAGTAAATCAGATTTGAATTGGAAATTCAGTAAATAAGGTGCATCAACTTGCACTCTAAACAGCACTAACTGTTGCATACTGAAGTCTCAATTTCTACAGCTACTCCAAACACATTAAATGGCATGAAAGTATTCAGGAAAGCACAGAGTTAATTTCAGGGGGAGTGGGAAAATGCCTGAAAGAATAATGTATAAGGCAACTAAGGAAATTTGCCTAGAGTATTCCAGTACTTAAAAGGGGCTTGTAAGAAAGATGGGGACAGATTTTTTAGCAGGGCCCATTGCGATAAGACAACGGGTAATGGTTTTAAACTGAAAGAGGGCAGATTTTGACTAGATAGGAGGAAGAAATTTTTCACAATGAGGGTGGTGAAACACTGGCACAAGTTGCCCAGAGAGGTGGTAGATGCCCCATCCCAGGAAATGTCAGGTCAGGCTGGACGGGGCTCTGAACAACCTGATCTAGTTGAAGACGTCCTTGCCCATTGCAGGGGGGTTGGACTAGATGACCTTTAAAGGTCATCTTTTTAAACTAGATGACCTTCCAACCCAAACTATACTATGATTCTATGATCTGTATGCTACATACTCTTTGTATGTAGGACAAGTTACAGGAACCCTACTATCAAGGTCTTGTACATTACCTACATTATTGCAGGAGACTCCTGCATAGATGATAAATACTACAGATAATTATCGTTTTGGAGGGTGATTTTTTTTTTAATTTCCTAACCTTTTAGAAGTTTGGGTACTTGCTTCATTTTACATTGCAATTTATTCTACTGGTTTCTAAGTTCAGAGTGGTCACTTTCTTCCATGCACTTAATTTCCTTCTTTCATTTGTGCTCTAGTGGCTTTTGTCACTTCAGCAGGTTAGGCATAAGTGAAAACATTCTGATTTTCTACAAAAGCAATACACATTTACTATGAAAATCCCTTATTATTCCGACACAGCAGCCACCAAAGGTTTTTACGGTGTGGACCTGTAGATGTTTTCTGAGTTTGTCTAATTCTCTCTTCCTCTGCAGTTTTCCTACCGATTTCTTTATTCGAGTTATCTGTGTATACAGAAGCCAGAAGACACCCTCTTCCAGACTGAGATACATCAGTCTGGAAGAGATTAAAACCAGTCTGAATAGTTGGAACTGGCAGAGTACTTTGTATGAATACTTCCTGACTCACTTCTGGGAAAAACTGCCAGTTAGTTCAGACCACCTTCTTGGTTTCATTCAGCACAGGTGTATCTTAAAGAGGCCACCTATTCATAACCAAGGTTAAATACATGTTTACATTTTAAGCAATCAGAACATCACATTGTAAACATTCTGAACTAAGACTGCTTTAAAAAGTCTTTGTTCTTTTTACTCTACATAAGAACTTTCTAAGGCAGGTGTAGTGAACTTGTAGCTCATTTGTATTGCTATATACTTTATTTATTAAATTAGTAATACATATTTCTCCAGTTGAGAGAAAGTCCTCACATGCCTACAGCTACACAAAATGCACAACACTGACAATATTTTAGTATATCTGATGTCAACAAGCAGATTAGTGGAAATTTTGTATTAGTCCTTTGAAAAAACAGCAAATTCGGAAACAGGCAACATTTACTAAGTTTTTATTAGTCTTCTCTTCCACAAATTCTGTATCCAAATTAGTGATGTAATTGACCCATAAAAGTACAATACCATATGCTACTTAAAAGCATGTTACACAGAATGATTAAAAATTTACATATACTTAAGGTGGTGTCTTCATTCCAAAAAGTTCTTTAACAGTGTGATAACTTAATCTGAGCAAGGTCACGGTGGCAATACTGGAATATCCAATTTTAGGCCATCTAGGAACAGATCAGGTATGCCATTACCAACTATACTAAAGAACCCATTTGGTGCTAATATACTTTGCTAACAATGCTATTCAACATTTTTTGAAATGAAAGTTTTTACAACTGTGGCTAGTGTAAAGCACAAAGCCAGCTTGAGCACTGTACTGTAAATTCTAACTAAGTTCAGAAAAAGCAAGTATGTACTCACACAATCTGGATTAAATGTATTTTAAATGCATTTCTGCATGTGAAGCCACAGCCACCTTTGCTAAAACCATGAGCGAGACCAGCTCCAAACAGATCTTACTGCAAATCAGTTGTATGAAGGTGACAACTTCCCCCTTAGAGACTGTAGCTCCTTGCCTCCATGAGGGTTTTATGGCAAACATGACAATTATTGCATTCTTTGTATCCTGTCCTTCTTAGCAGCAAAGGAAAAACACAAACTATTAGTTTCATTGGGAACTGAGGATACATGCCATTACACAAGACTGGATCCCACACCTACTTGACTTCTCAGATTACAGTCTAATCTGCAGCTGTAATGACTTTATTCCCCTACTCTCCCATGTTTCTCGGCTGGATTTCACAGTATGTGCAGTGTTATGTAACCAGTTAATAAAAGGCGGCACTGCCAGGTGGTAACACACACCTGCTGGCTTTGTATGAATCATCTGCCTTACCTGGCAAACACTTCCATGCAGAGGAGCGCTTGAGTTTTGCAAGCTAAGTTGCAATGTCTAACTCTATTTAAAAAATAACATTTCAACCAAAGCAATGCTCAAAATTTAATATAAGAGAGATTTTTACATGTAATTCAGGAAACTGCTTGTTTTTGTTGGTGGGTTTTTTAATTTGTTTTTTTTTTTTTAGGGTACTAAAACACTTACACAATGATATCTTCACATTTCTTGGATCACGTGTTACACAGTAAGCTCCATAACCAGCCACAGAACCACAGGTAAGACCAGCAGCTAAAGAGATTTTACTACCTGCAAGAAACCATTCAAGCGTTACTTCTCAATACAGTGTCTTTAAGCTTGATCTTTACACAGTAGTTCTCTCTCCCCAGAGTATTATCCAAATATTTAAAAAATAGAACCAATTTTTGCCACAATGCAGCTGGATCATCCAGTGTGAATAGAGAGGTAATATTTCTGTAAATGGGTCATTCTCTTGCATGGCATTTGGAGCAAAGTTGACTAAATTAGAAGGAAATTATGAGGATCAAGTAATACTTGCAATTTGGGAAAAACAATCTTTGAAGCACAAACCTAAATTTGGCTATTTTCTCTACCATACATATCTTAAGAAGCATTTTTGTAATTTCTCTGGACTCTCTGTTGACTTTAACTATATATTACAGCACTTGGGAGTCTCCAAAATGGTGGAAATGTGTCAATATATATAAAGGGTAAATTGGACAACACGTGTAGTCATAAGCCTTTCAGTCTGACATCAGTTTTGGACAAAGAAATGGTATCATCAACATCACACTTAATCAATAAAGAACTGAAAAAGAGTTAAAACAAGTAGATGGCAATGGAGATGAAATATGGCTTTTAAAAGTAACTTGACATCTTCTTTCAGTGCTATTACAAAACTGGTTCATAAAGCCCAGGGTTTCAGTAATATACCTAGGTTTCTGAACAGGCATTTGGCTCAGTACCAAATGATAAAAGTGTAGAATCAGCACAGCAGGTATTATCTGGATTAAGCTGATCCCAGAATGTTTATAAATGAAGAATCCAGATCCCCAGATGTCACTTAGCTCACAGTCATGTTATATTGACTATTTTTAATCAAGAATTTGCAAGAAAACAGAAATCGTTACCGATAACAAAAAAAATCTGTATTTGCCACAAGGACTGACCAACTATTAAAGAATGAAGAGAACAAGCAAATGGGATAGCCAGTGAGCACAGATGTGTACAAACCAAAAAAAATACTGGAAGCTTTTTCAGAAAGTCAGATATAAAGCCCTATCTCTAAGAGCAAAGCATGCTGCATGTTGCATAGGGAAACAGTGACCTTGATTCACACGAATGCACAGGATGGATAATGGCCACGGCAAAAAAGACCGATGCGGTGCTGGGAGGTGCACTTTTTGGGAGAGAGAAAGGGGGACCAGCCTGGAGATCCCGCCTGCCTGTCGTCGGTACCACTGCGACCTCTGCCGGGACGCTGTCCCGGGTGCCGCCGGCTGGAAAGGGCTGCGAAACGGACTGAAATATGGAAAATGTGCTTTATAGTGCACAATAACCTAAACCCCAATTATCTTAGACTTAATATCTAAGAGATCATTAATCACCGGATCAGAATACACAAGTGAAGGGTTTTCTTTCCAGTGTACATCTGGAAATCTCAAAACCAAGCCAGGATGCCTCTGTAGAAAATAAACTTTAATCAAACATCATCTATGGTACTCAGCACAGGCACGATTAAAGGAAATGAGACGACCCAAAATACACTGAAGGTCAAAAACAACATGACAGATCCTTTTTGCCCTGAAAACAAACTCATCAGTTAGATTAACAGAAAAAAAGTTGACCCAAGTAAATCTCATGAGACTCAGCTCATTTACAGTAGTGCAGGATGGATTTAAGATGCAGTCATGTTCATTATAACAAAGTTTTCATGTCTTGCATCTTTTTTTTTTTTTCATAAAAATTAGTGGAGAAGAAATACAAATGCTTCATTTCCAAATCCTGCTGTCCCAATATTTACCTTTACGAGTGTATCCTACAATACCTCCAACAGCCAGCAATGCAGCATAGGCAAAACCAATCCAGTCAATAGCCATGGTCCCAACTCTGGAGAAGAAAACACATTGCAACTGAAGACAAACAAATTCCTTCCTCCTGGTAAAAAAAAAAATCATGACTTAAAGTGTTCCTAAGGCAAACATGTTCCTTGACATGTTTTTGACTATGTCAAAACATTCAAAAGGCGAAGGTGTGTCTATTGGCTATTTTATCATCTTTTCACTAACTGTTGCCCTTCCTTGCACCTCAGTATCTCAGTATATCATATTTCCATTAGGGGAAATTGGTATTTTTGGGATGTATGTGGCATGCATTTTGCCCAGTCAAAAATACATGTGTGCAAGCAAAAAGCTTGGCACCACTCAAAGCATCAGTTTTGTTGCACCTGTGCTATATGGCGGATCTGGGCATACACTATGGATACATACAGGTCTTGAGAGCGCGCAGCTTGGTGCCCTTTCAAGGAGGCTGTACTCGGTGTACTTCAAGTGGAATGTCATAGGCCCTGCAACGCCAGGCAAAAATGGGAATTTTCAGAGTCTACCCAAAGTTTCCAGACAGAAACCTAGGCCACCTTCAGAAGTTATACATACAGAAGCTTTATCCTATCTCTGTCTGTGCCCCTTTTGTTTCACCTTTTGATTTTGATGCATTGTCCGATGCTAGGCTTCTGTCCTCCAAAAAGCATTTAAGTTACCCTTGTAATACTGATCCCTTCTTCCCCAGATGGGCTTTATAAAGGCACAAGTGGGCGTGGCTTCCAGCCCCACAGCCCCAGCAGCACTATGGCCTCTCTCCCACAGCCGCTGGGATACACCTTACCCCTCCTTCTCCCAAATTAAGTGTCTACTTTTAATTAAGTGCATCTTTGTTTTTACCCGAGTGCGTGTGGCCATGGTCACCGTGCTAAAGGGGTGGCAGGAAAGAGCACACACTCATCATTTCATGTCACGCCTTTAATATTAAAGCGAGCAACTCACAGCGAGGCCCCCCCCCGCTGTAACCTAGACAGGGGGATTTAGGGGGCCATGGCACCCCCCAAAGCAAGGTCTGCAGGGGCCAGGCGCAAAGCCCGGCCTTCGATCCACACGGCCTCCGTGGCCCAGGCGGGCAGGCCGG